AGTGGTGCCTGACCAGGTATTCTTTAACTGTTCAAACCTGCACTGTCAAACCATGCTGACTTGCATATTATAATTCCATGGCCATGCAATGCACACTGTAGAGATGGAGTGTTCCACAAGATCGCTTGAAGGTTTATCCTTGCGATATATTTGCTTCATTAATATGCCTGTCCTGAATTGTACTCACCCATGGACTTCATGGATAAAGCAGAAGGGAATAAGCTACCCATACCTGCCATTCCTTGTATTGAATAAATCAGTATAGTCTGCTTTTATAAAATATGGTTTTGTGATCACCCATTTCACAGTCTGGGGTGTTGTTGTTCCTCTGGACTCTCCACTGCATTTTACATCCTTTTTCTTCTAGTGGAGTTTGAGAATCCTTACCACTTTCCAGTTGCAAACTGCTGGGGTGGTGGACCATGGAGGCATCCTCCAGAATGAGTTAATGGAATATAAACAAAATATAGAAATGATTATAGAACCATTCAGTTGAGATTAGGGTGGTGGTGTTCTGCTGGTGTAGATGACATGATATCCTCCATTATGAAACATAAAAACAAATGGGATTGGGCCATCAAAATTGCAGTTCACCCCTTCGATTCGGATCCCTAATCCTACCCCCATGTGGAAGTCGGTTCTCAGTGGCCAGGTTTTGGATTTAGATTAGAACCAATCAACATAAGTCCTCACACATGTATTACAGATATCTATATTCCTCCCTCATTTATACTCCATCAGTGTTTTGGGACACGGTGGAGGTAATTGTGGATTGTTACAGTTCTTTCCCTTCTGCTATACCTCGATGTTTCTTATTCCGAGGATGTTAATGTGCTTGGGGTGATTCTTGTCAATTTCACTTTTTGAAGGAGATGGCTTACGTTGTGTAAACATCTTTTCTATACCAGATGTCGAGTTCCTGAATCAATTGATCAATTTATCATATCCACATCTGCCCTGTTCATGATTTGGGGGCTACTAGATCCCCTCTAGTCTCATGAACTTGAGAAGACTGTATGATCCCCCTCCCCCACCAGATTACTGGGTTTTGGATTGTAGTTGACTTACTGACAGTATGATCCTCATCCTACCCCCCGCATAGATGTCGGTTCCCATTGGCATGGGTTTTGGATGTAGTTAACTTTTTGTGTACAGTTCATCACACCCTAGCCACTCTATAACTAGGGGCACATCCTTTCATTGTACCCACTTTTATAATTTCTGGAATTGAGTTTTATAAATAATGCATGGTTCAGATCACTTTCCTGCCATAGTTCTCTCCCATTTGGATGTGCTCCTCTGTTTTCTGCCCAAATATGCGACATCTTTCTATGATGGGTGAAGTGTATACCTGGTTCAGAAGTGGTGAGGTTCCCCACATCAGATCTTCCAAGCTGACTCTCTTGTCTCAAGGTGTGTCCTTCGGATGCTTTCAAAGGATGCTTCTTTTCTTCCTTCGTACTGGTCCCTCCACCTATTCAATGTGAGATTCTTGCTATATATGTAAGAGGAGTTATAATTTTTCTACACTGAAAATCTATTTCCAATAGGTACTTATCTCCTCTCACCATTCCTCCCCATTGAAAACAGGTGCTTCCATTTTGTGCCAAAACTTAAAGTGATAGTTAGGTAGAATTGAATAGAGGGACTTACATGTGTAATGAGAGCATGTCACACTCTTATTGGTGGAAGGTTGTCGCACAATGATTTGCATAAGAGATGCACTGGAATTTGTGAATTCCAAGAGAGGTGAGAAAAAAACTGTTAAACTTTGGAAAGTTTTAAGGTGGTACAAAATTCCAGACTCCCATGGCAGAGCACAAGATGGAGAACATATATGTGTACCCATGACAGTGAGAGAGTTAAAAATACAGTATACAATTTAAACATTTGTAAATTGTCTATATACAAAACATCTATGAAACGATATATTAAGTTCGTTCGAGTTATTGGTTTTATTTTCATGGTGAGTTTGATTTTATATTACTAATTCCTAATTACTAATTTGCATATAGAGGGTAGCACTGAACAAGAATAGTTATTTATGTGAGCGGAGGTAAATACCTATAAGAAATACATTTTCAGTGTAGGAAAATTATAACCTTAAAAAAAGGAGCAAGTTGTATATTGTACTATTCAAAATAAGTGTTAAAATAACTCCTTAGATTATGATTCAGTTAGTAGGAGTTGTGTTAACGTAAATGACAGCTCTTGCTGTCACTGTTGTTTTTTTTTTCACAAAAATTTAAAATAAACAATTGCTAAAAGGTCTGAACATATTAGTGTTACTTCATTAAAAAAAACTAATGTTAATACTGATTTATTTTAAAACTTCTTTACTAAAAGTAAGTGTTTTTAAAATTCAATCAGAAAATATTATAGGAAAAAACATGTTTGGGGTAACAACAACAACAAAGTATGGACTTTTCTCTATGATAAAATACATTTATTTACAAGCTTTTGCACTCTTACAGGAGCCCTCATTGGGCAACAATGTACATTGGAGTACATTATTGCCCGATAAAGGCTCCGGTAAGAGGGCCAAAAGCTAGCTAATAAAAGTATTTTAACATAGAGAAAATTCTATGCATAATTATGCATATTAATTTACCTACGTTATGAGCCTTAAAGAAGAAACAAACAAAGTGTATATATGTATTTGGTGCTTTAGAAAGAACTAGCCATTAGTGACTGCAACAAACCCAAGAATGTTAGCGTTTCAGTGAAAGTCATTCTAAAGTAAAGTTATGACAAAGTTTAATTGCTAAGTAAAACACAATAGTTAGGCTTGAATGTAAGTTTCAATACTCTTTTACAAGTTAGTAGGTGTTATAATTGTAGACCAAAAGCTTTTTAGAAGTTAAAGGTGTAATAATAGTCAGTTGACACATCATTAAAACACAAGATACTGTAAATTACTTTTCATTCATGTGGAATTAACTTTTGCTATTTTTACTGTAAGTATGTTTCCACGAACAATAGTTTCAGCAAAATAAAAAGCCTTTATGAGTGGTAAATTAAACCCAATCAGATAATATTTGCTTATATATATATATATATATATATTTATTCTTTAGCACATTCATGAAGCACAGCACTATGTAAATGACAACAATGAAAATTGAAAGCACAATTGTTATTGTTTTGGCAGCTCGAGTGTGAAATTACATATTCAAAATCCTAATTGAACTATTTTCATTTAGACAACTGAGTTTCATCGTAAATTATAAAACCCAAGTAATATGATATTTGCGAATTGTATTGTTTTAAAGACTCTTCAGCTAAAATATACCTATAAAATTATTAAAATGCTCAAAACCTAGCTATTGCTATAATATGTTCAACAATATTTAATTTCTAATAAATAATTAAATAAATTAGATTAGTATAATGTACACATATCCAGATGCTTTGGATTGGTACATTACCATGATTGTATAATCTTCAAAACAAAACAATAAATTGAGCAAAGTAAGAAAATAATAATTATTTTGTGATTGGCTGTTAATACTTTACTTTTGGAAATAATTTGAGCCTGTTATGTTGAGGAATTAATATCACTGTTTCACCCTGAAGAGTGACAGATGAAATGAGTGAGTACAGGAAAAATTTAAAAAGAAAATAGATACTCTGTATTCAGTCATTAGCCCCATCGTACTAATGTGTCACCTCAGTGTATTTCTAACTTCCACCCCCCTCCCTTGTGCTGTCAAGTTATTGTATGTACAAATCCCTTGACTGTGCATCAACACTTGCTTAATGTGATTTTAGGATGATGCATTATATTGTCTGTGAAGTTTTAAAGATTTGAAGTTATCTGGCTGCAAGAAACAATGTGAACAGAATTTTGTGTGATACTGTGTATCAAGTTAGTAGTACTAAGTAAATTTCTATTTTTCTATGTTGTATTGATTTGTTTATTGTACAAGGAAATACAAAAATATATATCTAAAAATATTATTATTATTCAAATGAATAAGCATATATATACTTATAAACTGATACAGAAATATGTAGCCTGTATAAAGTAGTAGTATTAACAGTATATTTTGTTGGTGCTTGTGTAGTGTACAGTTATTAAATTACATGAAAAAAGGGCAGTTGGTTTTTGTCTAGATTTTCTTGACCTGTGTCTTTTTTCTTACTTTGTTGATTAATATCTTCCTTCATGCAAACTTTTCTTGTTCATAATCTTTCTCCATTCATGTTGTGTTTTTACTCAGAATATTTTAATCTCTGACCTCTTGTATCCAGTTAATCGCTATTTTCTACATCCAAACTTTGCTTATCAGTTTCAATATTCATCATTCATTTCTTTCATTTACATTTTGTTGACCAGTGTGTTTTATTTACCAAAGATCTTTCATTCACTGCTGAGTTTATATATTGACAAATATATTTATTTACCAAAGGAACTGTCATTCACTGCTGAGTTTATTTATTGACTTATATATTTATTTATTGAAGGATCTTGTTAACTAGTGTGTTCATTCACTAAACAATTTTAATGACTAGTGTGATACTGTTGAATAATGTTTTAATGACCAGTGTGTTATTGTTGAATCATGTTTTAATGACCAGTGTGTTATTGTTGAATAATGTTTTAATGACCAGTGTGTTACCGTTGAATAATGTTTTAATGACCAGTGTGTTACTGTTGAATAATGTTTTAATGACCAGTGTGTTACTGTTGAATAATGTTTTAATGACCAGTGTGTTACTGTTGAATAATTACTTTAGTTAAGATAATTTTAATCTAGTGTTATTATGTATACATTTTATACAGAACTTTATATTTTCATGCATTGTTTAATAAATCATTTCTTTTTCAACTCAAGATAAATGCAAAAAGATTATTCCAATCTGAATTTTTTTCTAATGTTGCTGTTTCTTCAGTACTATTGTACTGATGCACTCAGAGTTTGACTCACACTAAAATAATATGAAATTCTTAATGTGTTGTTGACCAGTAATAGAGTAATGGTCATTTATTGTTACAGGACAATATAACCAAGTTGATGTCTATTCAAAACAGTATATATGGTCATCATGAAGTTATTCAGCCTGGAAGGGTAAGAAGTTTGAATTTTTGTTGGTGTAAAGATTAGTTTGTTTTAGTTACCATCTATATAAATACAATAGTGTGAATACAAGGTATTAATATAAATAACTTCTGATATTTGATGTGCTTTGTTATTCAACTAATTCAAGTTACTGGGTCTGGTGGTTGGATACTTTGTTGGTAATGTACTTCGTTAGTGAATATGTAATATTTGTTATCATGTTTTACATAGAATCTAAGTGTAATGGTACTTGTTTAGACACTAATTATAGCTTTATATAACTAGTGCTTTATAAGAACCTTGAGTACTTGTTTAGACTAAACAAGTACTCATAGGTTCTTATAAAGCACTAGTTATATAAGCTGTAAGTGTCTAAACAAGTACTCATGGTTCTTATAAAGCACTAGTTATATAAGCTGTAAGTGTCTAAACAAGTACTCATGGTTCTTATAAAGCACTAGTTATATAAGCTGTAAGTGACACTTACAGCTTATATAACTAGTGCTTTACAAGTACCTTGAGTACTTGTTTAGACACTTACAGCTTATATAACTAATGTGGTATAAACATAGATGGTATTTGAAGTAGCAAGTACAATTTATACAGCTCCTTTTTCATTACTTTATAGAACTTGTGGAGTGGAGTATTTCTGGCACTATATACAAAACTTCCAGAGTCTAGTACTTCTAGCATTGTGTAAAAATCTTATGAACTAGCGTGCTTTTAGCAAATCTTCTAAGTTCTAGTACTTTCATCACTGTGTATGAAACTTCTGGAGCCTAGTGCTTCTAGTTCTGTAGACAAACCTTTTGAAGTGTTTCTAGAACTTGTGGAGTGTAGTATTTCTGGCACTATATACAAAACTTCCAGAGTCTAGTACTTCTAGCACTGTGTAAAAATCTTATGAACTAGCGTGCTTTTAGCAAATCTTCTAAGTTCTAGTACTTTCATCACTGTGTATGAAACTTCTGGAGCCTAGTGCTTCTAGTTCTGTAGACAAACCTTTTGAAGTGTTTCTAACACTTTCTACAAAACTTGTGGAGTATTTTTAGCACTTTGTGCAAAACTTGCAGAATTGAGTGCTTCTAGCACTTTGTGCAAAACTTGCAGCGTTGAGTGCTTCTAGCACTTTGTGCAAAACTTGCAGAGTTGAGTGCTTCTAGCACTTTGTGCAAAACTTGCAGAGTTGAGTGCTTCTAGCACTTTGTGCAAAACTTACAGAGTAGGGTATTTCTAGGTATTTCATTTCATTAGTGTTCATGAAAGAAAACCAGTTAAGTGCATTACGTTAAAACGATTTTAAATACTGAAATTCATGTGACAGCCACATCTAATATAAAGGGTATTTTTCAGAACTACATTTAGAGAAAATAAGGATGCAGAAATTGAAGTTTTGGACATTAAGATTAACAGAGTAGTGTGCTTCAAGCACTTTGTGCAAAAAGTGCAGAATAGAGTGCTTCAAGCACCTTGTGCAAAATGTGCAGAATAGAGTGCTTCAAGCACTTTGTGCAAAATGTGCAGAGAAGTGTTTCTAGCATTTTGTGCAAAACTTGTAGTGTGTTACTAGAATGTTTTTACGATTATGTACAAATAGAAAACTTATGGAATGTTCCTAGGATTATGTACAAATAGAAAACTTGTGGAATGTTCCTAGGATTATGTACAAATAGAAAACTTGTGGAATGTTTCTAGGATTATGTACAAATAGAAAACTTATGGGGAATGAGGAGGAAGTCCTGCAGAGATAGGTGGCCAATGGTGGTGACAGGCTTGAGGAGCTGGGAGTCATTAATTGGTCATCTGCACATAGACGTTTTGACTGTGATGGCCGAGGATGATTTGGAAAAGAATCCACTGCTTTCGGACTAACAGTTAACATAAAAAAGACCGAAGTTCACCATCAGCCATCACCTAACTCTTACTATGTAGAGCCAACTGTTCTTCTCCCCAGTGACTAGCTAAATGTCATTAACCAATTCACTTACCTTGGCAGTATGCTGCTAATGACAACAGCCTTGATGCAGAGCTTCACCACAGGATCCAAGCAGCAACTGCCTCTTTCGAGTGATTATATGAGAGGGTCTGGAAACAGCATGGCATACAACCAAAACCCAAGTGCAAATTATATCAGGCCATGGTACTGAGCTGCATATTGTATTCAGTGAATCAAGCCATGGTACTGTATTGTATTCAGTGAATCAAGCCATGATACTATATTGTATTCAGTGAATCTAGCCGTGGTAATGTATTGTATTCAGTGAATCAAGCCATGGTACTGTATTGTATTCAGTGAATCAAGCCATGATACTATATTGTATTCAGTGAATCAAGTCATGATACTATATTGTATTCAGTGAATCTAGCCGTGGTAATGTATTGTATTCAGTGAATTAAGCCATGGTACTCTATATTAATTAGTGAATCAAGCTGCAGTAATGTATTGTAATCAGTGAATCAAGCCATGGTACTGTGTTGTATTCAGTGAATCAAGCTGTGGTACTGTATTGTAATCAGTGAATCAAGCTGTGGTACTGTATTGTAATCAGTGAATCAAGCTGTGGTACTGTATTGTAATCAGTGAATCAAGCTGTGGTACTGTATTGTAATCAGTGAATCGGCTTGATTCACTGATTACAATACAGTACCACGGCTTGATTCACTGATTACAATACAGTACCACAGCTTGATTCACTGATTACAATACAGTACCACAGCTTGATTCACTGATTACAATACAGTACTGCAGCTTGATTCACTGATTACAATACAGTACCACAGCTTGTGGTACTGTATTGTATTCAGTGAATCAAGCCGTGGTACTATATTGTATTCAGTGAAGATTTATATGCTCTGTCATTGTCATATTAAGAGATTGTCCAGCGTACAACTCAGACACCTCAGAGTGATCCTAAATATATCTTGGGAAGACTGAATCCCTAAAGAGGTCTCAAAAGTGTGCCGATATGCCCAGCATAGAAGCTATGCATCTTAAAAGACAATGGTGCTGGGCTGGTCATGTGGTGCATATGCCAGAACACAGACTTCCGAAGACTCTACCTTATGGAGAACTTTTCTCTGGCCAGCAGTGGAGAGTTGGACCAAAGCTGCATTACAAAGATGTAATAAAGCATCACCTGATCACAGCTGACATACCTACTACCCATTAGGAGTTCCTAGCCAACAATTATGCCAAACAGCACAAATCCATCAAGAACAGTTCATAGAATGCACACCAAAAGTGGTGAAGGTCTCACAGGATTGTCATGTTTGGAGACACACCTTGCCTAAAGTTCTTTGCACAGTACAATTTGTGAAAAGAGGTGTGCCAGCAAATTTGGTCTCCGATCACACAAGTGCTGGCAGTCAACAATCCAAACGTTGGTGGTTTCTTCCACCCCACCCCTCTTCTTTACATCATCTTTAATTATCGTAGGACTGCTGATGAATATGACATTCTGGTGAGTACACCACAATAACATACAGCTAAGTTTATGTCAGTGCTAACCTTGTTGTCCAGTAAAAATAGTGGTACACCACAATAACACATTGGTGAGTACACAACAGTAACACACTGCTAAGTTTATGTCAGCGCTAACTCTGTTGTCCAGTAATAATAATGGTACACCACAATAACACATTGGTGAGTACACCACAGTAACACACTGCTAAGTTTATGTCAGTGCTAATTCTGTTGTCCAGTAATAATAATGGTACACCACAGTAACACACTTCTAAGTTCATGTCGGAGCTAACTCTGTTGTCCAATAACAATAATGGTACACCACCTTGTGGCTCCAATATGAAATGTTTTAACAAAAGCAAGATGTAATAAAAAATTTGTATACACACTAATACATATATATATACAGCATTTAACTGTGTATTACGTACTCAAAATATTATTGTTGTCTTTTATTATTACAGTCTGTAAAGACCTGAATTTCTGGCTATTTTTTTGCTACAAGTACCTGGTTCTAGGTTTTCTACCCATGCTCACCTCTAGTTTATAGATGTTTTAACTCATGCAGAGTAAAGAAAGCAGATCTTTTACTTGTATAAATTGAACTGAATTGTTTTTTTTTGTAACTTAGGTGTTTATAAAAGAGGGAGAACTCATGAAACTTTCCAGAAAGATAATGCAGCCTCGATGGTTTATACTGGTTAGTGATTGCTATTGACTGGAGAAATGATTTTACTAGAATTGTTTCCTAATAAAAACTTGTAAATTTAGCTTTTCTTTAACTAATGTTTTATCATCACAGTTTAGGCTTAATCTGATTTAGTCTTCTCTAATTGTTAGTGAAAACTTTGCATATTAACATTTAATGCTTGAAGTATTTTTTCAAAATTTGTAAACATTATCAAATTATAACTGCTTACCATTGTACTGATCCACTCAGAGGTCGACTCACACACACAGAATTTTTAATTTGTTATTGATCAGTAATGTAATCAACACTGAATCATGTTTGGGTTATCTTTGAAGTAGCATTAACTAAACTCATCCCAAATATTTAACAGACTTCAGCATGGAATCAACACTGAATCATAATTAGGTTATCTTTGAAGTGACATTAACTAAACTCATCACAAATATTTAACAGACTTCAGTATGGAATCAACATTGAATAATGTATAGGTTATCTTTGAAGTAGAGTTAACTAAATTCATCACAAATATTTAACAGACTTCAGAAATTAGGTATCAAACTACCATATTTTCTACTGCGGAAGAACTGGGTGGTACCATATTTTCTGGTGTAGAACAACTGGGTCTTACCATCTTTTTTAGTGTGGAAGAACTGGGTGGTACCATCTTTCCTGGTGTAGAAGAACTGGGTGGTACCATCTTTTCTGGTGTGGAAGAACTGGGTGGTACAGTATTTGCTGATTTATATGATGACCCTGGAATTTTTGAGCAAATTAAATGTATTTCCTTGAGATTCGATGTACAGGATGACCTCTGTTGTCAAGCAAGTCTAGGATGTTACTTTTGTAAAGATATTGTTAGAAGTTATTTTTGGACTTGATGCTTAAAAAACTTAAAAAAGATAATAACCATAAATAATTTTCTTAGAGTTTTCAATGTACTTCATGAAATAGAAGTATGTGACTGATGAAATACAATGATGTATTTGTAAAATACTTCTAAAACACTGCCACTAAATATTCATTCAAGATTTAGCAATAAATTCAAAGTCCTCTGTTGGTAATTTTTCTCCTGTATTCTGTAGTTCAATGACAGTCTATGGTGCATGACACAAGTTCAGTATAACCTGTATCGAGTTCACCATGAACTTCCCTTGACTGGAATGAAGGTATCAATACCTATTCAGCAGGACTACCAGAATGAATTCAGCATAATAAGTGTGACACGTTCTTTTATTCTAGCTGCTTGGTAAGAAAGTAATAGATATAAGTAGCTTATGCAATATTGCATTGGGAAATGGACAATAAGATAACTGTAGCCACTAAACAATCTACATTAGATAGTTATATTACATAATAAGATAACTGTAGCCACTAAACAATCTACATTAGATAGTTATGTTACATAAGATAACTGTAGCCAATAAACAGTCTGAATTAGATAGTTATGGTACATAATAAGATAACTGTAGCCAATAAACAGTCTGAATTAGATAGTTATGGTACATAATAAGATAACTGTAGCCACTAAACAGTCTGCATTAGATAGTTTTATTACATAAGATAACTGTAGCCACTAAACAATCTACATTAGATAGTTATATTACGTAAGATAACTGTAGCCACTAAACAGTCTTCATTAGATAGTTATATTACATATATTACTCCTGTATATTGTATAACATTGTCTCATTACTAGTGGGATGAACACCTGTATATTGTATAACATTGTTTCATTACCATTGTGATGAACTCCTGTATATTGTATAACAGTGCCTCATTGCAGTGCCTCAGAGACAGTTTGTTAGCCTGAAAATGACCTAAGGTCGAAACGTTGTTCTTGAACTTTATTTTGATTAAAGTTTTTATTACCCATATCAGTCGTCTCTGCTATAAATGATATGTTACTCAGTATTATAGAATGCAACTGAATAACTTGTTTTAAATTTAAAAAAGTATGGTATCACCAAAGACATGTATAACTACTTAAGAGTCACCAATGCATATAGTCTTTGTTTTGTTCTTTGCTGCAAAAATTCACAAAAATCCAATTGATATCCACCCCATCCTTTCAATTATGGTAGCCATAATCATGAGTTTGCATAATTCGTAGATTTTCTAATTAAACCATTACATGACAAAATAAATAGAAATTTAAAAGTGTTACAGAATTCCAAAGAAATCCCAACAACCTTAACAGTCATCACAAATGGACAGTTTTGATGTAGACTGCATGTATACAGTGATACTGAAAGAAGAAACAAGAAACCCAGCTTTAGAAATGATATAAGAAAAAAATTCTTACAAATTAGATTACAGTCTGACTCCATAAATTTTAAGAGATTTATTCCACTTTGTATTGAAAATGTTCTACCCATCAAAGTAAAACTTATGAACAAAAGAGACTGCCTAAGCATGGGCTGCCGTCTGTCACCTGAATTACACTAATTGTTCATTAACAATATAGAAAGTCATCACACACACACACACACACACTAACTTGGATACATCAATGATGTATTTTGTGGATTTAAAGATAATGGCCATCAAAAGTGTTTTCTACAACATGTGAACAACATTCATGCTAACATCAAATTCAATTATGAAGAAGAAGAAAATGAAAACAATGTTTTAAATTCACGAACGTAGCAGTAAAAAGAAACATTAACAATTTTAACACCAAAATCTGGTAATGATAACAACTATGTAAAGTGAGACCCAGCCCACTTAACTCGGCAAAACATTTGGCACATTATCATTAATTTACAACACGACATTTAGCGTATGTAGTAGCAGTAATCTGCAGCATGAACTAGAATCAATATCTGATACATTTACTAAAAGATATCACTTCCTTAAACATGTTGTCTCTAGAACTTTAGCCAAATGTACAAACAAACTCAATAACAGGAAACGGGAGGGACAAATTCCATGAAGGAAACAAAATTCACAAACTTTGACTTACTAAATTGTGTCTTATCATGCGATGGCTATGTAACCAAAAATATCAGAAACATTTGGAAACAAGTATAAAAACAATAAAATCTAAGGAGCAAAGTTATTCTTATTCAAGAACCAAACACTGAAGTCAAAGATCATCTACGAAAGGTTTATTCTGACAACTCCAACAACAGAAGCATCTACAAGTATCAGCGTGACAGCATTTATAGAAGCAAAACAGATGCAACATAGATATTAGGATCAAAATATTATGTAATGAGAACAACATTAACGGAAGAAAAATAAAAGAAGCGTTAATTATTCATGAACTGAAACCTAATTTAAATCAAAACACAGGTGTCACTCTATGAATTTTTTAAATTGGAACAAAATTCTTAAGCAACTTTTTGATGTGTCATACAATAAATGACAGTTTACCTTAAGCAACTTTTTGATGTGTCATACAATAAATGACAGTTTACCTAATAATTATCATTCAAATGGTCAAAATGTTATAAAGTTAAAAAAATAAAATAATCCACTCAAAAAACTGTGTCTCTGGACTTTTATTTAAAGTCTCAGTGTCTCACTAATGACCTTCCAGATTATTAACTGTAGGAGCCTTGTATGTTTAGCAGCAGTTCAAGGATGATGTGTGATCTGTAGGGATAAAGTCTGTGTCTTATACGTGACTTTCCAGATTGTTAACTGTAGGATTGTTGTGTGTTTGGTATGTTAATAATGATATATTGCTGTGTTAAAACTGATATATACTGGTGATTTAATAATGTATATTGCTGGGTTAAAACTGATATATACTGGAGTGTTAATAATGATATATTACTATGTTAAAACTGGTATATACTGGTGTGTTAATAATGATATCTTGCTTGGTTGAAATTAGTAGATACTGGTTTGTTTACTCTGGTATATTACTAGGTTAAAACAGATTTATATATATTTCCTATATAAAAGCCATGTGTATCATGTGATGTCACTCTTGATTTTACGAATTGGAAAGAGTCATAAAAGCCAAAATGCATTTATCCAGATAGAATTGTTCAATTACTGGGCAGACCTATTATGATTTTAGTGACTGGGGTGAAAGGGGATCATGAAACCTTGTAAGTGTAGTGAGTGTTGGTATAATAAACCTAAAGTAAACACGCAGTGCGGGATCACCTAGTTTAGAGCCACGTACATAAAATTTATCATGAAAGTAAAAATATTGATTCAATTTTAAACTTAAATTGTATTTTCTGTTATATCACCAACGTTTTTGATAAAAAAAACAAACCTCTTTAATCAAAGGAGACTCTAAATTAAGAAATTAACAAATATTTTTCCAGTTTTGTTGTCTATACATTTCATTTTATTCTTTCAGTACATAGACTTAACAACAATATTAGGTTATACTTTTGTTGCTAAGCAACATTACATAAAAGCCATTGTTTCAACTTAGTATTACCAAAATGCACTGGCTTTTCTATGTATTGGAAGTTATTAATCTAACTGATTCTTACCAATAATTATTCTATGAATATGCCACAAATTCTTTTCATGAATGATCTTAATTTTGATTGGCTCATAAATAAATTTAATGACATTTGACTGCCTCGACTGTACTCTTTGTTGGTCCAGCTTGACTTCATAAAACTTGATTTTTTCAGTTAGTTATGACATGTGAGGCTAGGGTATACTATTGGGTGAGGGTGGTAGTACTTGCCCTGTCATTTTTGAAGGCCTATATGTTTGTTTTTAACCTAGCACTATACAAATGTTAACACACACCAGTAATTATCAGTTATAACTGTGGTATAACAATGTTAAAATGTCAGAATACATCAGTTTTAACAGCAATTTTCTTGGGTAAGTCTGTTAATGTAATAGTATGTATATCTGTGTTGTTATTTTGTTAAATAACCATGTCAGGATTATTTTTAAGAGTTCTAAAGTTTTGTAGAATATTATTACAATTACATTTGTTACCATCTTTTCTGTAAAGCAAGTTTTAAACTTTCATATGGGGGTAATTTATAGACTTTGTGATTCTGTTGTCAACCAAAGTTTACAATTGTTCATAGCTCTCCAGAAGCAAGAGATGAATGGATAAATACATTAAACAAAGCTATTGAAGAAAATGCTTGTAAACGTAGCACTTTTCTGAATGTACGACTGCATCAAAAGGTAAACTTGATAACCACTTTTTAAACCTTTTCCAGTTTTCTGGTATTTGTCTGAAAAACGTTTTAGTACATGACATTTTATTATTTAAAAGAATTAAATCACAGAGTCTCACAAATCTCATTTCTGAATGAATTGAATATATTTGGAAAAATATTTTGATTAAGTTATACAAAAAACAACCATGATGTGTTTAAATGTGTTTGTGTGTTTTTTTGAAAGCTGTACATTTGTTGTAACAATTTACAAACTGTACTGAAGTTTTCATAAACATTTGAAAAAATTGATATGTTGAAATTTTTATAAGTAAAATTATACTAAAGTCAAATGATATGAAGAAATGTTGGCTAGAATAAAACCTTCTGGCAGAAATATAGGCTGAGTAGTCTAGATGAAAGTCTGAGAGCTAGCTGGGTGGTTTGGATAAAAGTTTCAAAACTAGTTGGGTGGTTTAGACGAAAGTTTGAGAGCTATATGGGTGGTTGGGTGGTCTAGAAGAAACTCTGAGAGCTAGTTGGGTGGTCTAGATAAAAGTGTCAGAGGTAGCTGGTGTTCTAGATGAAAGAGAGGGCTTAGTTTGTGGTATAGATTTTATATATATATATATATATATCAGATTTGTAAAATTTTCATAAATTTATAAATATAGAATGGAGAAGTAATGCCACTTGAAGATTCATCGTTTGACCTTGGAAGGAGAGCACCAGTATGGATACCTGATGCAAGAGTCACTATGTGTCAGTTGTGTACTAGTGAGTTCACAGTCACCTTTCGTCGTCACCACTGCCGAGCCTGTGGGAAGGTTTGTATGGCAGTTTTGAAACTTTTTTATTAAGCATTAATGTTGTAAGCTATATTTTAACCTTATCATTACAGGTGGGTTAAAGTGTGCATATCACATCTTTTTAGAGTTACATTCAAAATTTAATTAAACTACTTTATTGTCATTTTATGTGAATAAACGTGGCATCTAAATATTGTTAATAAACCAGATTTTAATATGATACAAGATATAAGTTCATAATTTTATAGGGCAATATTTTAAACATCCTCAGTCTCCCATAGTATGAGAATTGTGGCATTTGCTCTCTAGATTTTCCCTTTTCTCTAATTTAGTTACCACTCCTCCGAGAAGTATGGAATTTAACATAAATTAATCATTATAGTGTAGATACTACTAAGGCAAAGCATAATTTTTATAGCTTTCAGTCTTATTTGTTTACGGAGCCATAAACTGGAAAATCAGACCCATTTGCTGTGCCCATCTGTTACACCCTCTTCTTCATAAATTACCAATAACTTTCTATGATGTTTTACACTATTTTATTTATAACATATAGAAAACCAGAGTTATAATCTATCAAATGACATATTACATTGTTTTCTATACAGAGAATATTCTGTTCCAAAACATACTTACCTCCTTTCACATTACAGCTATTACTTGACTGCTAGGGTTTCTTCCTTTGCCCATCTAAGCATTGGTTTGATTTTTTCTTGCTTGCTTCAGTTTGTTATACCCTGCTTAATTGCTCTTGGGGATATTTGTCTTGTGACACCATCCACCTATATCGATGCACCCTTTATCCTAGTACTGTGTACAAGCACCTCATTCAGATAGTGTTATCACTTTTTCTTGACAAAGCACCATTAATGGGTTTCTCTGTGCTATGAATGTTTAGAGATACTTTTAGCATTCTCCGTGTTACCTAGTTGATTCCGGCACAGAAGTAAATTAGGTCTCTCCTATCCCACCTCTGATACCAGCATCACACAACAATCGGGTGGGGGGGGGGGTCACTCTCAGTCGAGACTGTCAGTGATCTTATTCGTAGTGAGATGGAAACATATATTTATTTCAGTGGTGTTCCTCCAAGGAGCTCTGAAGCTCTAATTGAAGGTAATCCTTGGCATTCTGGAGAGAATATAGATTCGCTTTTTCCTGCATCTTCTATTTGTCTGTTGGCTTCTCAGTCCCCTGTAAGTTTACGGACTTACAATGCTGGAATCCGGGGTTCAATTCCCTATAGTGGACACAGCAGGTAGCCCAATGCTGCTTTGCTCTAACAAAACAAACTTGCCTGGCTAAATGTTGTTCCAAACAACAGTATTTCAAAAGAATAAACAAGGAGGCCACTTTGGGATAAGCTGTCTCTGATTTGTTTTTTTCATTTGGTTCATTGAGAGTGTCATGTTTTGGGTCTTTCCCCAGTTGCTTTTGAGTCTGCATCTTACTTGACAGCTGAAAGGTCTGGGAGTGAATATTTAGTTTTCTCTCCATCCATGGACATTGTGGTTCATGCAGTGATGTTCACTTCTCAGTTATGTGAAGGGACAGTTATGCCTTATCTGCCATGGTTGTCGGAATTACGTGATTTAGCATACCACCGCCAGGTGGAAGCCTATTCTGACTCCCAAATAATACAACTTCTCCTCAAAATTATTGGTTCTAAGGCAGACTTTGTAGTTAACCTGAATAAATCAGTGTCCCCTGGTGGGACAGGGATAAGTCTATGGACTTACAGCTCTAAAATCCAATGTTTTGTTTTCCTAACACTAAACTTTGTTGGGAAATTCTCAGGATCACCAACTTCATTGGAACCATTGTTAGCATGCACAATGGTTCAATTGTTGGCTTCTCCATTCATCCTTGTTGTAATTGGTGTCTTGACTTTCATTGGCTCCTACAGGGGTCATAGTTCTGCCCCTATTTGAGGGTCCTGACCCCTGATATCAGCCCCTTGGTACATTGGTACCCCGAATAGATTCTGTCCATATCCAAGGGTTCTGCTGCTCAGTCAGAATACTGCCAACTGCATCAGTGATTATTTTATGCCTTCAGGGTCTGCGGGGTCTCGGCTCTGAGAATTTCTGGACATGTGGTAGTCTTAACCACAGATCCATGGGCCCTACAGGTCCTTGAGTCAGGATTAATGATTTAGTTCAAATCTTCACCTCCGTTATCTACCCAATCTATAGGGTTTCTGTCTCCCACAAATCCTTTGATTTTGGAATTTAGTTCTATAGCTATCAGAGTTTTGTTGGTCTGGGGGTATTGAGACAGTCATGCTAGTTTTTCTGGGGTTTTATTTCAGTCGGTTGTTGGGCCTAAGAAGACAGGAGATTGGTGTCCAGTCATCATTCTTTCTCATTTGTATCAATGCCTTGATTCTCCAAGATTCACAAGTGACTAATTCCTCAATCTGAGTTTGAATTTTTTACCAGGATTGTGGATGTTCAAGTCCATTGTAGTTGACTTCTATCTGCACATTGCCATAGTGGTGGTATCCCACCACTGTTGGCATTTTTGTGCACATGGGTCAGGTGCTGCAGTTCAGGGTTTTTACCATCAGACTAGCATCGGGATCACATGGACTCTGCCAATTCGTACAAGCTTTTTCTTGTCACCTCCATTCCCTAGCACTGTGCCCAGACCATTTTCTAGAAGACTGGTTACTACTGCCACCACCTTGTTAATTGTTAGAACATCACATCCGGATTCTACTTTCAGAAACAACCAAGACAAGCTTCATTCTCAGAGCTGAGACATCTGTTCTTGCTCCAATTCAATATGCCATCAGTAAGGGTATTTGTTTTTCATCACTTATCTCAGTCGTGCTTAACTAACTCCCATCTAGCTCCATGCTATGGAACAGGAAGCCTGACTTTTACCCATCTCTCCTTTTCCCACTGCATGGACGGTTCTTTCTTTTTTGGGAATGTGGGCATCACTTGAATCCCTCGTGCCTTTGGGATGATTGCACAAGAGATCCTTTCAATGGTCTTTAAACATAAATCATGAACATTGATTCACTGGATTCTCCAGTTTCCTTAGTCAGAATCATTCTTCGATCTTGAAAGATTGTTAAGTTGGGATGCTACTAAGATATGGGTTCATCTGCTGCCACCTCGTCCAGAGATCCATCTCTTCATGAATGCCTCTATTTTATGGATGGGGTGCATATACCAACAATCGGGAATTCTAGGGTCTACACGTGGATGACGAGGCTTCCCTATGCAATGTTTTAGTCCTTCTTGCTCTTCCAAAGGCAATGCCTCATGGTCTGAGCTTATTTAGAGGAAAATTGTAAGGCTCACTGACAATTCCATGGTAATATCTTGAATTTCCTGTCAAGGAGGCATTTGGTTCAGGGCTCTTTGTTTTAAAGTCTTGGACCTCCTTTCTTGGGACCACTTCTCTCATATCACCCTACTAGCTTGCCATGTTCCACAGGTGATGACTGCAGTAGCAGATCAATTGTCTCGACCCAAACAGATTCTCCTGACAGAACAGATACTGCATTGCAAGGTTCTGTTGTATTGGCTCTCATTTTGAAACACTGATGACTGGGGGGTTGGCCACTCATTGGAACACCCAACTACTGGCAATTTGATCTCCAGTACCTCACCTTTGGGCTTTGGCAATGGATGCATTCTGTCAGGATGGGATTACAACTCCAGGCCTTCCCTCCAATTAATGTCACCCAAAGTACTAATTATGATTTGTTCCAACCTATTGTTGGGTCTTGTTGATAGCACTGGATTTGCAGCTACACCCTGGTTTCTGCTTCTGTAGTACCCACCTCTTCCACTTCCTCTTTGGCCATGTCTGTGGAGGCAGCCATGAAATCTGACAGAAGCTATCCAGAAGCTCCTGCTTCAAGCATGTAAGTTATGCAGTTCTTTGCATGGTGTCAGGGTTTAATTTCTAAGGTTACTATGTATCTACTTGGTCCCATGATGGACATTTATCAAAAGAAATTACACACGTCTTGGTAATGGTGTATTGATAGGAGGTTAAACCCATTTTGATCAGAAGTGCCAACCATATTACTTTGACAAGGTTTTTCGCATCTTCCAAAATCACCCTGTATAAGGCAGCCTTATCAATTACCATTCAATACCCGTGACAAAATAAAAAAATTCTTTTGAGTCCCCAGTACTCTCCGGATTTCTCAATTCACTGTGGGTTCTTTGTCCCAAATGACCATTCTAGTTACCTAACTGGTATATTAAGGTTACATTACATGCCCTTTCTCAACACCTGTTAGTCTCATATTCCAAATATCACCTTTACCTAAAGGTTTATTTTTCATTGCTGCTGACCTACAGACATCGCCAGTCAGAGTGGTTTGTGCTGATTGTACACAGGTTGTTTTATCATTCTACCTAGGTCCTCAGATTGGTTCTTCTTACCTAAGACACTGTCAGCCAAAGTAGGGGATAAATCCTTTTCACTGATTCATCTGATCACTATTTCTCACTTCTATGATCGATCATATTTCATCATAATTATGTCCAGTGAGGGTCTTAAAGGTTTTGTTGCCCACACTAATGCCTTTAGAGATGCTAGACAATGACATCTTTTATTCATTAGGACCATTCAGTTTCCCAAGATTTACCTACAGCTACATTGGCGAAGTGGGAACAAAATCTATTCATTTCCCTTATTCTTGGCTGTCTTTGCTTGATGATATTGTGCAGACTGGTATGTGGACCTTCTCCAATACTTTTATCTCACATTATTGCATGATCTGGCAGTATCTTGATCTTAGGAGGTTCCACTACCCCCTATAGCTATCTTAACCACTTCCACTACATTCTACAGAGGGGTGAGTATTTTAATTGCTATGCTTGTTCCTTCTTTACCTTTTAGGATCCCACTCTTTGGCGAGTGTTGCCCAGGCAGGTGTGCTTTTATCAAATAAATTCTGCACCAGCAACCACTAGTTCAGTATACTTTATCTTGGTTGCAACAGGCTCTGTAGAAATGAGGTGTTCCATGACACCATATAGAGGCAGACTGGGTAGTATTACTGTACTATGTTGGACTGCCACTCATAGACTATCATGAGTAAAGCATAAGGGAATCCTGCTTGTCCCTGCTGATCATTGGCTTGAATAAATTGTGGTCTGTTTGCTTTTAAAAATTTAGGGAACTTGGTTCACCTATTGCCCTGTTTCCAGAGAACTGTTACTCAGGACTCCCCAATGAGCATTACCCATCAGATTCTACTAGTGGAGCTAGGGAGTCCTTGCCACACCCGATTTCCAGTAACTGAGTTGTGGACAGTGATTTTTCCTCCAGAGTGCTATAGTGAATTTCTCCACTCTTGGAGAAGCAGGCAAAGTTGGGGGCCCTCCTATCCATGTCCTAATGCTTTTCCCAGGTGTCGGTAGGAGAGGCACCAGCCTACATGGGAACCTACTCGTAGTACTGGTTCAGATTTGATGCTCGGCTATTGTGTTGGGTCGAACATGGCCCTTCTTTTTGATGAGTATTGTTTCAATACATTGTTCATGAAAGAGAGTCCATTGTCTCCTCGAAAATCCAAAACTCAGGGTGGTCCCATCCTGGGTGCTTGCTTGAGCACAGTTTGTTCCATGTCTTCCCCATAATTCTGGAATTTACTTTGCCTACACAGTTGGAGAGTGAGGATGAATTTTCATAGCTCATCATGATTCCAGTGGCTCTGACACATCACTCTAAGACTACAGGTTGAGGTCCACTCATATATATATGTATGTATGTGTGTGTGTGTGTGTATTGTGATACAATTGCCCTAGCTACCAACGTGGGATATAGGGACCATGGCCCTATAATTCCAACCCTGAGCAGTGGAACCTCGGCTATCTAGTTGGGGCCTGGTGAATAGTGATGATATATCATTTAAAAATCCACCCACAGTACATGAATTTAGTTCCAGGTGAAGAGCATACCTGTTCTTGATATAGTGTGGTTCCTCCACTAGGGTGCCAATCTTCTATTGACACACCCAGCATCTATGCAGATGTTTTCTGTATTGGTAATGCCCTCACTGGCCCCTACACCTTCTCAATCTGGGATATTAGCTACAGAGGTAAGTATGCTTTGGAAGTTATCATTTTCCTAAATTGAAAATGTATTTCCAATAATACTTACTTCCATTCACACTTTCCTGACTGTCCTCCCCACTAAGAGCTGGTGTTAGAGGCTGCAAATTGAGTCGGTCTCGAAAAAGTGACAATATTATCTAAATGAGTTGCTTATATACAGTACCAGAATAGAGTACACATTGATGTAGGTGGAGAGTGTCACAAGACAAATATTACCAAGGACAATTAAGTGAGGTATCAAAGACTGGAGCGAGAAAAAATCAGACCAATGCTTAAATGGCTTAAGTTTCATTGACAACTGACAGCAAAAATGTAGTAGACCCAACTAAGTACTATATTTCTTATTTTTCATGTGAATATTTTATTATTATAAAAGTAACTAAAATGTAAAAAATTATTAATTTATTAGGTTGTATAAGGTTATATTAGATAAGATAATGTAAAATAATAAGAATTTGTCATGAGGTATGCTCTCAAACAGCTCATGAGTTACGTGATTTGATACAGTAACCTGAGCTCCAAGTTTAACTAGTGATATACAACTTGTGTGGTGGGATTATTTGTTAGACATGGTTCACAGGGCAAAAAAACAATCAAATTATGTAAAACAGATGTATACTGTTATAAATTTTTAGCTATTTATTATAAACAATTGTGGTTTCCAGTTACAACCTGCAGTTATTCTAGGGAAAAAAAAAAGGTAATTTAGATTTATTTCCTAATTTCTTATGGAGGTTATGATGTTGGTCAAATTGATCAACTCTGTATAAAGTTAGGGTAGAAAAATAACAGATAAAATGCTTTTCTGAAAAAAAGAACATTTAAATTTTTCAGTTGAAGAAAACTATTTTTAATCTTAACATGAAAATCACTTTGCACTCAGTCTCCATATATTCACAGACAAATGTTTAGTAAAAATACTTAATTAAAAATCCTGATTTTGTGTCTACAAAAGACTTGTAATGTTTACTAAAATCATGAAGAATTTCGTGAAGATACACACAAAAAGTTATAGTATAGAAATTCTGATGGCCACTTTAGGGTCACGTAGTCAGTGTAATTGACTGAGCTCTTTGTGAGAGGTGTCAACTAGTGAGTTAGACAGTAAGAGTTGTTTTATCTGTGATTCACTTCAGTGTCAACTAGTGAGTTAGACAGTAAGAGTTGTTTTATCTGTGATTCACTTCAGTGTCAACTAGTGAGTTAGACAGTAAGAGTTGTTTTATCTGTGATTCACTTCAGTGTCAACTAGTGAGTTAGACAGTAAGAGTTGTTTCATCTGTAATTCAATTCAGTGTCAGCTAGTGAGTTTGACAGTAAGAGTTGTTTCATCTGTGATTCAATTCAGTGTCAACTAGTGAGTTTGACAGTAAGACTTGTTTCATCTATTTATCTGTGATTCAGTTAGTTAATTAGGCTTACATTATTTTTAGAACTGCTGTTCAAAAGTTTGTTTGTAAAGTTAAGCCTACCAGTAAACCATAACCAATAATATTAAAGAAATAAATTATTTTGTTATCATTATGTGAACTGGACTTCTCATTATTTTTACCAAATATTCAAAAGAACCCACCCAGTGATAGAACATGTTACAACAGCAAGATTAATTCTTCATTTATGATGTTATACAGGGACATTATTGCACTGCATAAATATTTTAAAATTTTCTTTATGTATCGTTTTTTATGTAAAATGTGACTTTTAAAACATAAATGTAATTGGGTTGTCTTGCAAACTGAAAGTAGACTGAAATTTCATAAAAATTGATTATGAATATTTCAAATTAAGAAATAAATGTATTAATTTTAGAAATTCAAGGGTTTGTCAGTGACTCTTCCTGAACTTGAGCATATCAGTTTTAGATATCTAGCTTATAAAAGAGAAAGTTTTGTGAAAGTAATCAGTACAAGTCAGTCCTTCATAACTAAATTTAAAATCTTGTCTAATGTGCTAAGAATATAGTATTATCTATCTAACCTGTATAAAACCAGTGTGTCACATCACGCCACGCTTGATTTCTCGAAATAGGAGGAGTCCTAAAAGCTAATATACATTTATCCAGAGAGAATAGTTCAATTACTGTCTGCCCATTATGGAGGTACAAGTGGGCCCTGATGGGGTGCCTTGAAACCTTATAAGTGTAACAAGTGTTGGTATAATAAGCCTGAAGTAAAGACGTAGTTTGGGATCACCTAGCCTAGAGCCAAGTACATAAACATATCATGAAAGTAAAAATATTGATTCAATTTTAAACTTAAATTGTATTTTCTGTTATATCACCAACGTTTTTGATAAAAAAACAAACCTCTTTAATCAAAGAAAACTTTAAATTAAGAAATTAACAAATATTTTTCCAGTTTTGTTGTCTATACATTTCAGTTTATTCTTTCAGTACATAGACTAACAACAATATTAAGATATACTTTTGTTGCTATACAAGATGACATAAAAGCCATTGTAGGAACATAGTGTTACAAAAATGCACTGTCTTTTCTGTATACTAGAAGTTGTTAATCAAACTGCTTGTTACCAATAATTTTCCTACGAATATGCCATGAATTCCTTTCATGAATGATCTTAATTTTGGTTGGCTCACAAAAAAATTTACAAACATTTGACTGCATTGACTGCACTTTTCTGCTTCTTTGTTGGTCCAGCTTGATTTTTCAAAACTTATTTCTTTCAGTTAGCTATGAAATGTGAGGTTAGAATATTCCATTGGGTGGAGGGTGATAGTACTTGTCCCATCAATTTTTGACGAGCTATCACTAGTCTTGATAATAATTTTGAGCATGAATTTATAGTTATTGACCAAATTATTCTTTTCATATTGTTTATTTTTTAATTAATGAAATAATAATGTATCTCTTGAAGAAATCAATTTTTTTAATTGTTTTGCATAATTTTTTACTTTCATTTTTTCAATATCTTAATTACATGATAAGAGATGTTATTTGAGAGTTAAATTAGAAACTCAAAATATACAAATATTGCCTTTCAGCTATTTACAACTCTGTCAGCACTTTTCTTACAACTTTGTTTATAGCTTATAATTTTTATCAACAAAATAATATTTTGTTCAACTTAATTCTTTACCCCTGGTGATTAATAAGATAATTTGTTTGTTTCAGGTTGTGTGCTCTGCTTGTTCAGTAAGTCGTGCACCACTTCATTACCTCGGACTTAGACCTGCAAGGGTTTGTGATTCGTGTTTCCAAAAACTTCAACAGGGTATGTCTCGCATGATAATATTACAATAATTATTTAAGTATTTCCTTTCAAAATACAATTTATAAGTTAGTTACATTCTGGATTATTTATACATTTGCACAAATGTTTCAAATGCTTATTCAAGAAAGGAATAAACATATTAAAACTTGACTATTGGTAAACTGTCAGAAAGCTGTACATCATCCCATTTAATACTATCAAATAGTGTACTAAGTTCTGTAAATACTATCAACTAGTGTACTAGGTTCTGCAAATGCCATCAAATAGTGTACTAGGTTCTGTGAATGCTATTAAACAGTACACTAGGTTCTGCGAATACTATCAAACAGTGCACTAGGTTCTGCGAATACTATCAACCAGTGCACTAGTTTCTACGAATACTATCAAATAGTGTACTAGGTTCTGCAAATGCCATCAAATAGTGTACTAGGTTCTGCGAAAGCTATCAAACAGTACACTAGGTTCTGCGAATACTATCAAACAGTGCACTAGGTTCTGCGAATACTATCAACCAGTGCACTAGTTTCTATGAATACTATCAAATAGTGTACTAGTTTCTACGAATACTATCAAATAGTGTACTAGGTTCTGCAAATGCCATCAAATAGTGTACTAGGTTCTGTGAATGTTATCAAACAGTACACTAAGTTCTGCGAATGTTATCAAACAGTACACTAGGTTCTGCGAATGTTATCAAACAGTACACTAGGTTCTGCGAATACTATCAACCAGTGCACTAGGTTCTGCAAATACTGTCAACCAGTGCACTAGGTTCTACGAATGCTATCAAACAGTGCACTAGGTTCTGCGAATGCTATCAAACAATGCACTAGGTTCTGTGAATGCTATCAAACAGTGCACTAGGCTCTGCGAATGCTATCAAACAGTGCACTAGGTTTTGCAAATGCTATCAAACAGTGCACTAGGTTCTGCGAATGCTTTCAAACAGTGCACTAGGTTCTGCAAGTACTACCAAACAGTGTATAGCTGGTTACCTGAAGCAATATGACATGATACTGAATGTTATGCTACTTTTAAATCTAGTTACCTGAAGCAATATGACATGATACTGAATGTTATGCTACTTTTATATCTGGTTACTTGAAGCAATATGACATGATACTGAATGTTATGCCAGTTTGAAACCTGATCAAATGAAACAGTTTAAAATTTAACTTATTCTGAGATTAAATAACAGCTTTTTGCAGCATTGACTTTATATCAATGTAGTATTTGTGTACTACCTTGTTTTATTCATTAGACATAAAACTGTTTCTTGTTTACCATACATTCTAGTTTTACTGATAAGCTTTTTGTCATTATTCAAAGTTAATTTTTTCCTAATACCAGGTGACATCCAGAAATAGCTAATGTGTACAGAATTGTAGGCAGAAAATTTTTCTGTAGTGAGATCAGACTTGTTCCAGCAACTTTAAATTATCTGTTAATAGGAACATTCCTGTACACTTATAATTCCTGGAAAAGCATTTTCCACAGTTTCCATGAATAAGTTTACATAAGCTAAATCTAAACATCTAAATACACAAGAAGAATTAATTTATCATAATAAGAGTTTAAGTATTGCTTCACTTTCCAGAATTCTCTGAAGGTGGCCAAGCCGAGTGCCCAGTTACCATGGAAACAGGTGACTCTGTAGGAGTTTTGGAGTCTGGAGAGACAGAAATTGACACTCCACAGTCTGTAGCAGCACTGAAAGCTCAGTTTAAAGGCAACCCACGGCATTTAGGAAAGAAAGTTAAGAGAATTTTACCAAGTGTACTGATAGAGGTGAGAAGAACTCACTGTGTGATGAGTTTATACCATGAGTGTCTGACCTTAACCAATAACCTTCTTACTGTGGTAATGTCTTGTATAACTACACCTAACTTATGTATAGTTAGGAAACTCCATATTACTTTACTGAACATTAATCCTTTGCTTCTATACAAGCATATATCTATAATAAAAGTAAAATTTAACTTAATTCGCATGGGTTTTGATCAAAAATAAAAATGAAAGATTGCATAATCAGGTTTTAGAATACATCATACATTTAGTCAACTTTTTCTGTCTATTATGGTATTTGATTTAAAACTCTTAACCGTTCTTCTATCTGAGTCAGGTGAATATATAACATTATCAACTGGCGTTATGATAAATATAGCTTCAGTCAAACTTTGACTTAGATGAAAGAAGAAACCAGGTGAATATATAACATTATCAACTGGAGTTATGATAAATATAGCTTCAGCTAAACGTTGACATGAATGAACGAAGAAACCAGGTGAATATATAACATTATCAATTGGAGTTATGATAAATATAGCTTCAGCTAAACGTTGACATGGATGAACGAAGAAACCAGGTGAATATATAACATTATCAATTGGAGTTATGATAAATATAGCTTCAGCTAAACATTGACATGATGAAAGAAGAAGCAGACAGGTAAATATAACAACAGATAATCCTGGATATGAATATATTAGCAAACATGTATAAATGGAATGACAGAGTAATTGACAAATAATTTGGAAAATCATAATTTTTAGTGTTTTTGACAAGGTTGAGTTTTATACAAACTATGTATTGGTTTCAAAGTTTTTGCTAAGGCTGACTTTTATGTAAATAGCACATATTATTTTAATGTTTGTGCCAAGGCTGTTTTTATACAAACAGTGTGTATTTTTTCAAGGTTTGTGCCAATGATCAAGGGTCTTCCATTAGTGGTTACCTGCAGAAGAGGTGTCGAAGAGGCTGGAAACGGTACTGGTTTGTCATTAAAGACAAAGTTTTGTATAGATACAAAGCAAGTGAGGTAAGAAACAGTTTGTTTTTGTGTTAGTTCACATTGGATATAGTATTTATTAGATAGAATGATTGATAAATATGATATTATCTTATTAGTGTGGTGAACAGGATCAAATGTAGAACCACTCGCATGCTTGGGGACTGGTCTTTGCAAAGCTCTAAAGAGGGGATTCTCAAACTGTGGTACACATACCACTGATGGTACGTGGAGCTAAAGTCGGTTGTACATGACACAATTAATATTAAAAAATCATAAAATTTATAATAAGCCCTATCTGAGCTTTCCACGTATATATACATATTACTCTCCTCGCTTATAGTTATAGACTTACCCTCTACTTGCATAGACTCGCCAGTATTTTCTTTCCTTAAAATTGACAGAAATGGTACCATATATTATTCAATCATGCCAGAAAAAACAATCACATCCTTTGCATTAATGGGTAAATTTCAAAAATATGAATTTTTGTCAATAGGTTTTTATCTTTTTCTTTAAAATTAAGCCTGGGTTTGTATTTGTAAAAAATTATATAACAATTTGTATGCGAGCCTGAAACAGTTGAGAACCAACACATATGGGCTGTGATGTTCTCAGCTAGCTGTTTGCCCCTGAGTTGAGCATTTTCTCACGCTGAGGAGAAATGGAAGATTTAATGTACAACATGCAGATATTAATTTTCATCTCATAGTAAAGATAAAGGATTTCTTCTAAGAAATGAACATTTATTTTTTGAAGTACTTAGAAACATCAAAAGATGTTATAGATAATTGTGTATTCTATGTAACAATTAGAGTATTTAGATAACTTTAACTTCAGTTTAAGAAATCTTATATTCAACACACTGTTCCTCCTACATGACACAGCTAGTACTAGACTAGTATAGGTGTGTCAAGTTATGAACACTTTGTGTGGAAACACCCCACTACTCTTCCTTTTACATGACACAGCTAGTACTAGACTAGTATAGGTGTGTCAAGTTATGAATACACTGTGTGGAAACACCCCACTACTCTTCCTTCTACATGACACAGCTAGTACTAGACTAGTATAGGTGTGTCAAGTTATGAACACTTTGTGTGGAAACACCCCACTACTCTTCCTTCTACATGACACAGCTAGTACTAGACTAGTATAGGTGTGTCAAGTTATGAACACTTTGTGTGGAAACACCCCACTACTCTTCCTTCTACATGACACAGCTAGTACTAGACTAGTATAGGTGTGTCAAGTTATGAACACTTTGTGTGGAAACACCCCACTACTCTTCTTTGGGAATGCATTATTGGTACTTTTGTAATAGATATCATCTCAAACTAGTAAGGCAACAAGTACTATAAAAGACAGTGATATAATTAAATATCAACTCTCAGAGGCTGATATATCCAAATTCAAAATATAGAGGGACAAAATCCCTTGCCAAACAGTATGAGCTTAGGCTATTCCTCTCTTTGTACAAAAAAACAATTTCCAAACAAAAAATTTTACACAGAATTATGGTGGATAACCCAGCAGAGAGCACAAATGTTACATGGATATTCTTAAAAGATGGAATCCAGAAATAATGATCATTAATCTAAGACTTGGCCAGCCCAACATCAGGTAACTTTTGAAACCTCTGAAAGTATATTTCTCCTGATTTGGTTTGTTGCTGCAAGTGTGATTGGTCATATCCATTCTGTTACGGTTGGTATGATATTTCATATTTGCAGCAGGGATGATGGTGCCACATAAAACAAATACATGGGTTCATGTGTTACAACTCACTGGGCATATAACACCTTTATCACAAATTATGACCCATTTTTAACACTTAATCCTTGTGCTGTCTGGTTTGCCTGAGGGTGCATCAGGAATTGAATGTGTAGGAGGATCATAACTTGGATCACTTTTATTACTTTCACTGTCATCTTGAGCAGTTTTCAGGCATATGTCATTTGGAATAACAGTATTTGTGATGTCATTTGTTACAAATCTCACAATCTTTATATGATATCTCTTTTTGTCATTGAAAGTACTTTCTAAACTAGCAGGCCAGTATTATGTGGTTTTTGTATCTTCCCTCATATCCACACTTCATACCATACACCTATATTCCTTCAATATGTGTTACTAACATTACTTGAATATGAGCCTTATAAGCCACACGGTTAGCAATGTGGAACCTAATTATTGGCTCTATTACTACTAAAGTTCTAAATTTCATTGATGATGTGATTTATTTGAGTAAGCATGAAATTGGCTTTACAAAACAAATTGCAATTTCATTGGCTAATACAATTTAATTAAACACTTTGAAATATGAAAAAAGATGGATCTTGTCACTTTATCATAAACAACAGTTTTTATTACAAAATAGTCCGTGCCAGTTTAACTGATAAACCAGAGACCTGAGTTGATTGCAGATGACGCTCACATAAAAAAATAGAATTGGATGCAAAGTAAGAAACATAATGGTAAACAAGAAAATTGTATATTTGGGCCTGGATAGCATCTGATACAGGTGTCAATTCTGGAAATAAACAGTATTTACTGATTTATTTATTCTCTTCTGTTACATATTGACATAATGTCATATAGATCCTTGTTCTTAGATGTTTCATCCTTACAGATGTTATTTCTCTTCACTAGTGTGAAAAACAAGAATCTTATCTGTTTAAATAAATAGGTTTGTATCTCTACAGCTATGGCCTAAAGTTTCCATCACCTAGAAATTTATGGGCTGAATTTTTCCAGGGAAAACCGTCCCTTTTTAATACCTGACCCATATGACATGTGGTCCATTCTCCTACAGGTGTCTTATATGTGATACACTCAGCTATGGCTAAAGTTTTCCATCACCATAGAATTTTAAGAATGAGACACTATTGAAAGAAAAAAATGTGTGTGTGTGTGTGTATATATATATATATATATATATATATATATATATATATATTATTATATATAAACTATTAGTTATATTATTTAT